ATAAAAGCATTCTGTTTGTACTTTGTGCTCTACTTCCTTAAAAAGCACTGTCAGGCTTGTTAGCTGTCAGCCAATTATTTTTTTAAGAAGACTTTTATTACATTTTTCTTTAAAGAATGTGTAAATATCCTTACCAAGAGTACATTTCTTTCTTACTGTTTTTCGAAAGAATCACCAACTGAAAAAAAAGTTCCAAGGCGTATTATTACTGCAGAGATGAATTAGGGAGTTAGCAGGATATTACAGAAGTACCCCAGATGCCAAAATACACGAGTCAGAAAAACTTAGGTCCAGTTTTTCCCTGTTGGTGATTTAATCTCTGGAGCAAAGCTTAATTAAATATTGCATGAATATGCCTTAAAATGTGAAATATGCCTTAAAACAACATGACATTAATGAACTTAATAAACTTATTGAATAAAGACATTTTGTAGATACTGGATATATGAAGATGAATAACACATGGCCCCCACCCTTAAAGAAATTATTATTTAGAAGGATGAGATAGAAGTATATGCCAAAATATATGGATGGTAACAATTAGGCAAAAAAGAGGGGGAATAGTCAGTTCTGCTTTGGGATATGGGAATGCCTGAAAAGCTTATTAGAGCAGGTGAGTTTTGAGAACGAGTTGTTCACTATGTAGCTGCAGATGGGCTGGGGCATAGGGGTGGCAAGAATGCTCAATCTAGTCAGGAATATTATCGCCAGTGCCATAGAGGACTGAGATCGTGATGTTACAAATACTTTGCTACGGGTAATGGGAAGGTTGTGTGTGGAGTGGGAGGAGATGATGCTAGAGAGGTTGTCAGGGAAGGTTTAACTTTATCCAGAAGATTCTTAAATGGGTAATTAATAAAATCAGGGAAAGATTATCTGGCAAGTAGAAGGGGACAAGATTCCAGTAAGAGGTATTAGTTTGTAGATATTAAAGTAATCAAGCCGGAAATGACATGGGCCCAAAGTCTCAAACTAAGTGATGAAAAATCGAAATGGAAATTAGGAGACAAAAAGGTGTATTAGAAACAAGACACATGACTGATTTTTGTGTGTGTGGTAAAGGAGAGGGAAGCATCAGGATGTCTTTCAGATACTGTGTCTTGGAGAATTTTAGAAAATGCCAGTGCCATTTGAAGAGAAGCTATTTTAAAAGAAATAAATAATTAGTTTGCTGCTTGAGCATGCCAAGTTTGAGCTGGTAGTAGATACCCAGAAAGATGTGTTCTGTAGGTATTTGGATCTGGAACTTCAAAAAAGGGGTTATAGTTAAGAATCAAGAGTCATCAGGATTGAATTGTTTGAAACCATGGAAGTAGATACAATAATCTAGGAATTCAAGAAGAAAAGTGTGGCCTGGTGCGGTGGCTCATGCTAGTAATCCCAGCACTTTGGGAGGCTGAGTTGGGGGTATCCCTTGAGGCCAGGAGTTTGAGACAAGCTTGGGCAACATGATGAAACCCTGTCTCTACAAAAAATACAAAGATTATCTGGGTGTCATGATGCATGCCTGTAGTCCCAGCTACTCAGGAGGCTGAGGTGGGAGGATCATCTGAGTCCAGGAAGTTGGGGCTGCAGTGAGCCATGATCACTCCACTGCACCCCAGCTTGGGTGACAGAGGGAGACCCTGTCTCAAAAAAAAAGGAAAAGTGTCAAAAACAGAGCATTAACATTTTGGGAGCGGGTCCAAAAGAAGAGCTGGTAAAGAAGACTGAGAGGGAATGGTCTGAAAAGAATCCACTGAATTTGTCAGTTAGATGTTGGTGACTATTGTTAAGGCGGTTTCAGTGATGTGTTAGGAGTAGGGTCCAAATTACAAAATAGGCCGGGTGCAGTAGCTCACGCTTGTAATCCCAACACTTTGGAAGGCCGAGGCGGATGGATCATGAGGTCAGGAGATTGAGACCGTCCTGCCTAACACGGTGAAACCCTGTCTCTACTAAAAATACAAAAAAAAAAAAAAAAAAAATTAGCCAGGCATGGTGGCGGGCGCCTGTAGTCCCAGCTACTTGGGAGACTGAGGCAGGAGAATGGCGTGAACCCAGGAGGTGGAGGTTACAGTGAGCCGAGATCGCGCCAGTGCACTCCAGCCTGGGTGACAGAGCGAGACTCCGTCTAAAGAAACAAAACAAAACAAATTATAGAATAATTCTGTATTGTATTAGTGGTATTTATGCATTGAATTATACCTTTAAATATTGTATTAAAATAATGTGTGATATATATACATTTAGAGAATTAGACAACCAGCTCTCATGTGCCTACTATATAGTTTTTTAAACTTTTATTTTTAAATAATTATAAATTAAATTCTTATAAATCATAGGAAGTTGCAAAAGTAGTACAGAGAGGTCCTCCTATATAGACTTCACTCAGCTTCCTCCAGTTACCATTCAGTTTAACAAGTGTCCTGGGTTAGTTCAGATGTTAATGTCTTGGGCTGGGTTATGGAACCATACAGGGAATATGGATGTGGGTTCCATAGCCCTACCTGGTGTAAGCCTTCTGTCCCTGCCTCCACTAGGAGCAGAGCAAATGCAAGCTGCTTTGCTGTTTCTCAGAATGTATGGATGGAGCTTTTCCACCTCCTTTTTACATATTGGGCAGCTCTTTTTAGGATTTTGGCTCAAAATAGGGATTTGACTTGTAGCCCACCCCTGAAATAAGCACAAAGGTGGATCTTCTGGCTCTATAGGCCCAATATACCCTTATTATAGACTGCGTTGGTATCAGCTGAGGTGACATCTGTGGCTTTGAGTTTCTTCCTTTCTGTCACCAAGAATTTCCCTCTCCCAGCTTTTCTCTCCCTTTTGGAGTTCAGCTGTATATTCTAATTTTTCATGTTGATCTAGCATTTCAGTGATACTGTTTGGTCACATGGATGTATTAGTCCAGTCTGCCTTGTTGCTTGAATAAGAAGTCCAATAAAATTTCTTTTTTTCTAATAAAATATTTATTAATTCTATTCGCTGCTTTGTTCCACAAAAATGATTTGGGGTTGGATTATATTATTCTCTCTTTAAAAATATTATTATTATTATTACTACTACTACTACTATTTGAGACAATCTCGCTCTGTCGCCCAGGCTAGAGTGCAGTGATGCAATCTTGGGTCACTGCAACCTCTGCCTCCCGGGTTCAAGTGATTCTCTTGCCTCAGCCACCTGAGTAGCTGGGATTACAGGCACGTGCCATCACGCCTGGCTAATTTTTGTATTTTTAGTAGAGATGGGATTTCACCACGTTGGTCAGGCTGGTCTCAAACTCCTGACCTCATGATCTGCCCACCTCAGCCTCCCAAAGTGCTGGGATTATAGGCTTGAGCCACCGCTCCTTGCCAAAAATATTATTTATTTTTAAAATGGGTAATATATGTATGTGGTCTAAAGTTAGATAAAAAAAGAGTATGCTTTTTCTTTTCCCTGTTACCCTAGCCACCCCAGCCCAATGTCCCTTTATAGATACAACCAGTTACCAGTTTCTTATGTATCCTTCTAGAGGTTAACAATGCACTAGTTCATTGGTTTTTTGGTTTTTTTTTTTTAAGATGGAATGTCGCTCTTGTCAGCCAGGCTGGAGTGCCGTGATGCAATCTCGGCTCACTGCAAGCTCCGCCTCCTGGGTTCATGCCGTTCTCCTGCCTCAGTCTCCCGAGTAGCTGGGACTACAGATGCGCGCCACCACGCTTGGCTAATTAAAAAAAATTTTTTTTTTTTAGTAGAGGCAGGGTTTCGCCTTGTTAGGCAGGATGGTCTCGATCTCCTGACCTCATGATCCACCCGCCTTGGCCTCCCAAAGTGCTGGGATTACAGGTGTAGCCACCACGCCCGGCCGATAATGCACTAGTTTATTCTTTAACAGAGGTTTTAAACTTTAGTGTTTATAATTTAATTTTGTAGCCAATATTCAGGATTTTTCCATCTATTTGAGGTAGTAGCAATTGTATTTTCTTCTGCTTGCTTTTGAGTTACAGCTTTACACTAGTTATGTGTTACATGTATGTTTTTATATATGTGAATGGATTATCTGTGTTTTAATTTTTGTTCACAAACTCCTCAGAATGTGACAAAATAAACTGTTGATTAGAATGTTTTAAGTTATGTGGAATATTAAAATGAAACATTAGCTCTATTTTTTATTTTTAATTGACACATAATAACTATATATATTTATGGGATACAGGGTGATACTTGAATATGTGTATTCCGTGTATAGTGGTCAAATCGGAGTAACTAGCATATTCATCGCCTCAAACATTGATCATTTCTTAGTGTTGAGAACATACAAAATCCTCTATTAAAACTAATGGAAAGCTTCATGAATTTCTATGTTATTTTTGGGCAGGAGCCATGCTAATTTTCTCTGTATTGTTCCAATTTTAGTGTTTATGCTGCGGAAGTGAGCACTGGCCCTAATTTTTAGGAGGTAGTGGAAATTATATTTTAAGATGCTAGAAATCTTATTGAAACACATTGTAGCTATCCTTAAAAATTGTGGCTGGGTGCGGTGGCTCACGCCTGTAATCCTAGCACTTTGGGAGGCTGAGGCGGGTGGATAACCTGAGGTCAGGAGTTCGAGACCAGCCTAACCAACATGGAGAAACCCTGTCTCTAGTAAAAATACAAAATTAGCCAGGCATGGTGGCTGGTGCATGCCTGCAATCCCAACTACTTGGGAGCCTGAGGCAGGAGAATCACTTGAACCCCGGAAGTGGAGGTTGTGGTGAACCAAAATCACACAATTGCACTCCAGCCTGGGCAACAAGAGGGAAACTCCATCTAAAATAAAAATTGCCCTGATTACTAACCAATCCATGCCATTGTTTGCATATGTGCAAATAATTGCCCAAAGAGTTGAGGGGGTCTGTCAAAGATAAAGGCTTCTCCTTTGGGTTCCTTAGCCACAGTTTATACCATTGATTGCCTGACTGCAGCTCGGTGTGAAATTCAGTAACATGGAGCAAGAAATGGAAGCCTATGACCTAATATGTTTTCTTCCTTAGATCAACCTCTCCACTTCTCCTACACCTGCACAGTTAATAAGCCGTTCCCAGGCTTCCAGTTCTACCAGCGGCAGTATTACCCAACAGACTATGTTACTAGGGAGTACTTCCCCTACCCTAACGGCAAGCCAAGCTCAAATGTATCTCCGAGCTCAAATGGTAAGATATGAGCTACCAAATTTTTTCAGTGTTTAAGGACTTGAGAGATCAAAATGTTTCTTGATTTGATACAATAAGAGGTATTTTTAATATTTAAGAAATGTTTAATTGTGTGTGTGTGTGTGCATGCGGGCGTGCCTTCAGCTCTTGTACATTATGTCATGAAAGATTCTACTTTTAATTAATAAATCTTCTTGGTATCAAATAGTAATTATCACGTTGCAAGGCTAATAGAGATTCAGTAGCATAAGAGTGATTATTTTTTAATATCAAATTCATCGGAAACCTTTTTTTCATATTTTAACATCTCTGAAATTGGGATGCATTTTATAACTGATGGCATCTTGGTACTTACAGTGGTCCATGAAATCATTGCCTATTTTTGACAACTTAGATTTAGTGAAATAGAAATGTTAAAAAAACTTTGTTGTTAAAGTTAGAATTTGTATCCTAGGATTTTCTGAATTCTATATTGGAGTTCCGGATAGTTTCCCAGATGATTCTTAACTTTGGTTATTCCCATCTCAAGTTCTGCAAGGTTATTTGTGTTCTTGAGTTCATTTTGATCTTTTATGAATATAGGAATGTTAATTTGGTTATTCTGTATTTGGGTATCTACTGATTTCCTAATTTAATTGTTGAGCTTCTTTAAGGAATGTAGAAATTGGTTGACATGTATTTTATTTGATGTCTTTAAAGAAGCTAGACAAATGCATTGTCCCTAATATATTTATATTCTTTTTTGTCCAGTGGACTGAATATTTACCTGGATCTCCAGTTTTTTGTTGTTGTTGTTATTGTTTTTTGAGGCAGAGTCTCACTCTGTCGCCCAGGCTAGAGTGCAGTGGCATGATGTCTCCTCACTGCAACCTCTGCCTCCTGAGTAGCTGGGGTTACAGGTGCCTGCCACCGCGCCCTGCTAATTTTTGTATTTTTAGTAGAGACGGGGTTTCACCGTCTTGGCCAGGCTAGTCTCAAACTGCCGACCTCGTGATCTACCTGCCTCACCTCCCAGAGTGCTGGGATTACAGACGTGAACCACTACACCTGGCTTGGATCTTCAGTTTTTTTATCTAAAATTGCAAAGTTTCCAATCATTTAACTAATTCTGTGCTTTAAAATTAGGTTGAACCATTTGAAATGGTCGCTATTTGACTCTTTTTGAACTCTAAAATCAGCAGTTTCATACGGGTCAAACTAAATTGAATATCTTCTTTTTAGGTTTAGTCCTTTCAGGGTCTTGGTACTGGAAATTACCTTTTCAGGAAAGTTATGCCATTTGTCCCGCGGTGTCTGTGGTGGATTGTTGCCAGGCCCCACCCTCTCTGTCCCCTAAAATACTCAAATCTGAGGATGCTCAAGTCATAGTATTTGCATATAACCTATGCATGTCCTCCCATATACTTTAAATCATCTTTACGTATAATACTTAGTATAATGTAAACACCATTTAAATAACTTATATTGTTTAGGCAATAATGGCAAGAGAAAAGTTTGTACATGTTCAATACAGATGCAGCTGTCTTTTTTTTTTTAAACGAATATTGCTTTGATCTACAGTTGAATGACGAACTCCATAGATATGGAGGCCTCATTTTACTTTGTTGTTGAATTTACTTAAATTTAGTGTACTAAAGAACTGAAGTTTAAAAGGTCACTTAATTGGTCATTTAATTTTTCTAATTGTTTTTGGTCCTTGTTTGGTTGAACATTTTAACTTAGATAGCAAGAGGAACGGAATAATTTATACAATTTTTAAATAAAGTATTTACACGTTCTTTGAAACAAGTGTCAGATTTACTAAATTGAATTGATTGATCTCTAAGTGGATTGTATTGCCTTAGAAATTAATGGCGTTTGGCTGGGCGTGGTGGCTCATGCCTGTAATCCCAGCAATTTGGGAGGCCGAGGCGGGCAGATCACTAAGACTGGGAGTTCGAAACCAGCCTGACCAACGTGGAGAAACCCTGTCTCTATTAAAAATACAAAAAATTAACCATGCATGGTGGCTCATGCCTGTAATCCCAGTCACTCAGGAGGCTGAGGCAGGAGAATCACTTGAACCTGGAAGGCGGAGGTTGTGGTGAGCCGAGATTGCGCCATTGCACGCCAGTCTGGGCAACAAGAGTAAAACTCCATCTCAAAAAAAAAAAGAAAAAAGAAATTAATGGCGTTTGTTTGAATATTGAAAAAAATTGAGCCGGGCACAGTGGCTCACGCCTGTAATCCCAACACTTTGGGAGGCTGAGGTGGGCGGATCGCTTGAGGTCAGGAGTTCGAGACCAGCCTGGCCAACATGGTGAAACCCCGTCTCTACTAATAGTACAAAAATTAGCCTGGTGTTGTGGCGTATGCCTGTAATCCCAGCTACTCGGAAAGCTGAGGCAGGAGAATCGCTTGAACCTAGGAGGGAGAGGTTGCAGTGAACCAAGATCACATGACTACATTCCAGCCTGGGTGTGACAGAGACTCCGTCTCACCAAAAAAAAAAAAAAAAAAAAGGAAAAGAAAGGAAGGTGATAAGTAAAAACATTAAATGTCTTTTTGTTTTTTGATGTGAAGCTTTTTTTGCAGGCTCTTTTGTTGTTGAATTTTGACCGGTGTGGCATTTACTTTTAAAATGAATATTTCTTTTTTTTTTTTTTGAGATGGATCTTGCTCTGTCACCCGGGCTGGAGTTCAGTGGTGTGATCTCAGCTGACTGCAACCTCCACCTCCTGGGTTCAAGTGATTCTCCTGCCTCAGCCTCTCGAGTAGCTGGGATTACAGGCACACCCGGCTAATTTTTGTATTTTTAGTAGAGATGGAGTTTCACTGTGTTGGCCAGGCTGTCTTGAACTCCTGACCTCCAGTGATCCACCTGCATTGGCCTTTCCAAAGTGCTGGGATTACAGGCGTGAGCCACCGCGCCAGGCCATAGAATGAATATTTCTTTACAAATAGTTTTAAAATGAAAGGGCAACCTGGATTTGCCCTATAGATCCTTTGTAGCGGAGTGAAATATTGGAGTGTAGTATGTGGCATAGTTATCCTTATGATAAAGAGGACTGAAAAGGCTTTTTTGGTGTTTCTTTTTGTTTCTCACTGAAATTTAATTTGTGTTCCAAAATAGTGACTGTAGTTGTTTACTTTAACTTTCCATTTTAGAAATCCTGCCACAGTAGTTTTGAGCTAGGAAAAATTTAACTATAATAGCTTATTTGAGACACAATTTGGTCTGAGAATTTCATATCACCAAAATATATTTTCTTTTTTGAGTACTGCTTTTTTTTGCACTCATCAGAATCATGAGCTGTTTCAAAAATGTTTATGATGTTTTTTGAGTTCTCTTATTATCAGAAACTTCTCTTTGTCATGTAAAACCTTTTGCTGAGGAGATAATCCTAAACTGCATTGTCTTTCTGTCACAAATTTCAGTCTCTCTTGCCTGCTGCACATTGTGTGTGGGACATGTTCTTTTGTCTTAGGGTATTTTTTTGGTTTTCTGTCTGTACAGCTGATTTTCACACCCGCTACCACTGTGGCTGCTGTACAGTCTGACATTCCTGTTGTCTCGTCGTCATCGTCATCTTCCTGTCAGTCTGCAGCTACTCAGGTGAGCTTGTCTAGCTTCATAATGTGTTACTTGAGATCTGGATCTTCAGGTTAAAGTTAAGCATTCCTTTTGTGTTTAACTTACTGATGGTTTCAGTGCTCTTTGTCATGCATTTCAGATTGAAATTTAATAAAATATAATGAGAACTTCAAGAAAATGTTTTTTCTGTTAAAATTATAATACCATTAAACACAGATATTTAGGTTATTTGACGTTGGTTGGTCAAGGTTAATGACTTTTTGTTAATGACATTCTGTGTTTAATCATAAAGCAGATTTATTTCTCATGTGAGATATATTCTTTTGCTTAGATTGCTTTGCAGTATTCCTTATGTAATAACTAAGTCAAGAAGGATTTTAAGTTTGAAAGTGAATTAAACTAGACAAATTTAAAATTTTAAAAATTGGTCGGGTGCAGTGGCTCATGCCTTTAATCCCAGCACTTTTTGGAGGCCCAGGTAGGAAGATTGCTTGAGCTCAGGCATTAAAGACCAGCCTGGGCAAAATAGCAAGACCCGGTCTTTACTAAAAATAAAAAAATTTAGCTAGCTGTGGTGCTGTGCAGCTGTAATTCCAGCTTTTCAGGAAGCTGAGGCAGGAGGATTGCTCAAGCCTGGGAGATTGAGGCTGCAGGGAACTATGATAGTGCCACTGGATTCCAGTCTGGGTGACACAGTGAGATTCATCATTACAGAAATGCAAATCAAAACCACAGTGAGTATCACCATACACTCACAAGAATGGCTGACATGAAGAAGACTGCTAATACTATATATTGGTGAGAATGTGGAACATCCAGATTCTCATACATTGCTGGTGAGAGGGTAAAATGGTATAGCCACATGTTGGAAAAGACTTTGGCAGTTCCTCATGAAGTGAAACATACATGTAGCATGTGACTCAGCAGTTCTACTCCTTATGTTTACCCTGAGAGATGTGAAAACACATAGAGACATGCAAGCGAATGTTTATAGCAGCAGTACTCAGAGTAGCCCCAAAGTGGAAACAACCAAGTGTCCTTTAACTGCTGAGTGGATAAACAAATTTTGATATATTCTTTTTTTTTTTTTTTTTTGAGACAGAGTTTTGCTCTTGTTGACCAAGCTGGAGTGCAGTGGCGCGATCTTAGCTCACTGCAACCTCCACCTCCTGGGTTCAAGTGATTCTCCTGCTTCAGCCTCCCGAGTAGCTGGGATTACAGGCGCGTGCTACTACACCGAGCTAATTTTTTTTTCTTTTTTCTTTTTTCTTTTTTTTTTTTCAAAATAGAAACAGGGTTTCACCATGCCAGGCTGGTCGTGAACTCCTGACCTCAGGTGATTTGCCCGCCTCAGCCTCCCAAAGTGCTGGGATTACAGGCATGAGCCACCAGGCCCAGCCTCAATATATTCTTACAGTGGAATACTGCTCAGAAATACTGATGAATCTTAAAAACATGATGGTTAGCAAAATAACCTTGGTATAAGGAATACATACTCTATGATTCCATTATATGAAATTCTAGAACAGGCAAAACTATAGTGAAAAACAATCAGATAAGTGGTATCTGGGGGTAAAAAGTAGGGGGAGATTGATTGGGAACGGGCATGAGTGAACTTTCATGGTTAAGGTGATGTTCTGTATCTTGGGTTAGTAATTATATGGTATATACATATGTCAAAACTCATTGTTTTGTTTTATTGTATGTAAGTTACACCTCAATAAATTTGATAAGAATGAATTAGAATGAATACATTTTAAATGAAAACAATTTGAGTTAGAATGTTACTTTGCATGATATTGCTGTATTCTGGTATTCTTCATAATGAATATTTTAGACTGCACATGGCAGAAATGGATATTTTAGGGTCATCATTGGCTTCTTATTTATAATATAATAGTTCTCAATCTTCTGGTAAAAAATAAAAAATGAGATAATAATAATCCTTGGTATTTTTGATGAAACCTCTGTATATGCATTTACAAATAAAGGCTGATTTTCATGTATTAATTTATAAAGATGATGGTCAGTTCATTTCAGGTTTCTCCTAACTTGCCCAGTGATTCTCTACAGTTTCTTAACTTTACTGGACTTTTTTTTTCCATATTGTTAAGGTTTTTCTTTCTTTTTTTTTTTTTTTTTGAGACGGAGTCTCGCTCTGTCACCCAGGCTGGAGTGCAGTGGCCGGATCTCAGCTCACTGCAAGCTCCACCTCCCGGGTTTATGCCATTCTCCTGCCTCAGCCTCCCAAGTAGCTGGGACTACAGGCGCCCACCACCTCGCCCAGCTAGTTTTGTATTTTTTTAGTAGAGACGGGGTTTCACCGTGTTAGCCAGGATGGTCTCGATCTCCTGACCTTGTGATCCGCCCGTCTCGGCCTCCCAAAGTGCTGGGATTACAGGCTTGAGCCACCGCGCCCGTTCTAAATGGGAGGGCGTGCTGCATGGGCCGGGAATCGAACCCGGGCCTCCCGCGTGGCAGGCGAGAATTCTGCCACTGAACTTTCAACTCTAAACTTTTATGTTTCTGGAATGAATTTGTTGAAGTAATGATCTTTTTAAATTAACTGATTGATTTATTTAGTTATTTATTTAATTTTTGAGATAGGGTCTCACTCTGTCACTCAGGCTGGAGTGCAGTGGCTCAATCATGGCTCTTTGTAGCCTCGACCTCCCTGGGCTCAAGCCATCCTCCTACCTCAGCCTCCTGAGTAGCTGGGATTACAGGTGTGCTCCCACGCTTGGCTAGTCTTTGTATTTTTTTTTGTAGAGGCAGGGTTTCACCATATTGCCCAGGCTGGTCCTGAACTCCTGAGCTCAAGTGATCTGCCTACCTCGGCCTCCCAGACTTCTGGGAGTATAGGCGTGAGCCACTGTGCCAGCCTGAAATAATAATCTTCTTTTCTTTTCTTTTGATTTTATGAAACCTAATAGAGCTAGACCATCGTCAACTTCCAGAACATTTTAAATTCTATTTTTTCATTTATATTTGACTTTGTTCCAACTAAGATTTTAATTCATTTATAAGATGCGTACAATAAAACATTAGAAAGTAAATTGGAACCATGTAAGAAAAAAGACACAAATAAAACTAGGAAAGTGGCATGGAGCTAGGAGTGAAGTTGCTGCTCAGTTTACATGTATGAAGTTCTATATGGACTTAAGCTCCTACTTCAATCATTTATCGTATGACTTGTACAAGTTGCCAAACATCTTTAATATTCATTCATATTTGTAGGGAAAAAGAATGAGTAATATATATCTTTAGTGTATAGAACATTACAGGCACTCAGTAAGTAGTACTTTTGTTTTGCAGAAGTCGGGGATAGGAAGACTTGGGTTCAAATTCTGACTTCAGCAACGTTTGCCAGCCAGATTGATTTTGGCCAGATTCATAGGATAGCATAGTGTTTATAATACGGACTTTGGAGCCAGAATCTCTGGGTTCAAATACTTGCTGTACCATTTTATTGTTACAAGTCCTTAACCTCTCACCTCAGTTTCAATTATATAAAATAAAATAACATTTATTATATATTTCATAAGGTTGCTATGAGGATTAAATATGTTAATAAATTAAAATAGAAGTGTCTGATAGCATTTACTAAATGTTTCATTTACTGAATTGTTTCATTTACTCCTTAAAACAACTCAGCTCTACTCTCGGAGCTGTTGCTTGCAGCTCAGAGTTGTTATAAGGAATAAATGAAACAATAAAGTACTTAACGTAGTGCCTGCCACATAATAAGATACCACAAGCTACTAATTACTATTTTTGTTATGCATTGTCTGAAGATGAGTCACGAAGTTGGTTCTTAACTTTCAGGTAACTAATAGTGAAGGGAGAAAAGCAACCACTTAAAGAATTTATAGGCCAGGCAAGGTGGCTCACACCTGTAATCCTAGCTCTTTGGGAGGCAGAGGCTGGCGGATTGCTTGAGCTCAGGAGTTCAAGACCAGCCTGGTCAACATGGCAAAACCCCATCTATAGAAAAAATTTGCAGGGTGTGGTGGTGCGGGCCTATAGTCCCAGCTACTTGGGGGACTGAGGTAGGAGGATTGCTTGAGCCCAGGAGGTTGAGGCTGCAGTGAGCCAAGATGAGCCACTGCATTCCAGACTGGGTGATAAAGTGAGACCCTGTCTCAAAAAAAAAAAAAAAAAAAAAGAATTTATAGTTTCCAAGGTAAAACAAACAAACGACCTGCTTAGGAAAACACAGCTGATTTTAACGTATTCTGAGGAGCACAATTTGTCTTGCTGGTACACATGAAGAAAACATCTTACTTCATATTTAAGGGTGTTTTTAATGTGAATAGTCAAAATAATTTATAAAAGTGGCCTTTGGGGTCCAGATTGATGTGTTCTAGGTATGAGCCTCTGTGATCGGCCTTAATTCAAGGATAGATTTTTGAGGGGCTGGAGGAATGGATTGAACTTTAGGAATTTCTCTATGAATATTGTTTCTCTTCTCTGTACTTTTGAAATGGCAGTGAGTGAGGCTGGCATTGGTAGGTGATGCTCACTCTTATGCACTCCAGTGATAACTTTCCTCAAGTTCAAGACTATTAGTTTTGGAAAATTTCTGCATAACTTTCTTGAGTTTTAAAATTATATTTGCAGTTAAAAAATTTATTTATAGTTGTGAAATACCAAATCTGAAGTTGTATTTTAATACTCTTTAAGCTATAGAAGTCAGTTCAACAGTTGATTTTTCCTTAGTACTAAACATTTTTATACCATAGTGTAAAAAATGAGAAATTTGGAATATCTCACTTCTATTTACTATGTTAAATGCTCCATTCCTTCTCTCCACCTGGCAACACCGACAGAAAAACAGATTTTTGGAAAGATGTTATAGGGTAGAGTGTGTTAAGAGATGAATTGGGCATGGTGGCTCACGCCTGTAATCCCAGCATTTTGGGAGGCCAAGGCAGGCAGATCACTTGAGGTCAGGAGTGTGAGACTAGCCTGGCCAACATGGTGAAATCACGTCTCTACTAAAAATACAAAAATTAGCTAGGTGTGATGGTAGGTATCTGTAAACAGCCTGGCTAACTCACAAGGCTGAGGCAGGAGAATTGCTTGCACCTGAGAGGTGGAGGTTGCAGTGAGCCAAGATCGCACCACTACACTCCTGCGTGGGTGACAGAGCAAGCCTCTGTCTCAAAAAAAAAAAAAGAGATGAGTAAGAAATCTGACCCAGAGACTGGCAGAGTGGCTCACATATGTAATCCCAGCACTTTTGGGAGGCGGAGGCGGGTGGATCGCTTAAGGCCAGAAGTTCAAGATGAGCCTGGCCAACATGGCAAAACCCCATCTCTACTAAAAATACAAAAATTAGCTGGACATGGTGGCACAGGCCTGTAGTCCTAGCTACTCAGGAGGCTGAGGCAGGAGAATTGCTTGAACCCAGGAGGTGGAGGTTGCAGTGAGCTGAGATTGAACCACTGCCCTCTAGCCTGAGTGAGACTCTGTCTCAAAAAAAAAAAAGGGAAAAAAGAAAAATAAATCTGACCCAGTAAATCCGAAGGGCTGTTCTTTATTCCCCAGATAGGCTTACTGGGGAATACTCTTAGAATTGAGAAAAAAAAACAGCCCTTTGGATTTAAAAGCTAAAAACTCAGCTCTACTGTCAGCAATATGACCCTCACTCTTAGGGATACTATGATAATTGCCATAGTATTTGTTAGATTCCAGTTAAATAATTGATGTGAGGGTATTTTGGCAGGGAAGCCCTCTATAACAATGTGAGATGTGAAATTAGCAAAAATAACTCATGCAAACTGTAGACTTTTTAAAAAGTCAGAAAGTTTTTGTAACTTGATTAAAGGAAAGGTTCAGATGAAATGAATGTGGGACATCAGAGTGCCCTAATATTCTTCTTCTTAGAAAGGATGTGTTTTCTTTCAAAAGGGAAGCTCTGTCAAGGAAATCTGTGTATGTGATCTTTCCACCAGCAGCTAAGTTAACTTTGTAATATATTTAGGCAGTGTAGCTTTCATGTTTGGAATTTATTTAAACCATGTCAATATTTAAGTCAAAATGATCATAGATATTTTAGCCATATTCTAAAATATATGTGTTCACATAAATAATATATATACAACATAGTGTATGTAAGTATATACACATTTTCTTTTAGAATTCCAGAAAATATAAGGAAAATTAAAAACACAAAGTGTATTATTCTATAGAAATGGATATGCTGCAGGTTTCAGGGTTAATTGTGTCAAATCCTCGTTTACTGTGAATATACTTTTCATTTGAGGGAATGCTTTCCAGTTTTTCAGATTATTATCCTTTGGTTATCATTACTATGCAGTCTACTTTATAGATCACTTGTGGCAAATGTTAAATTTTATATTATCTTTCTCTTGCTTCCTGGAAGATTTTAATGTGCCTCTTCTAGATACTTGTTGAGATGTTTTTGGTAAACATGAACAGATTTTAATGTTAGCATAAGAACACGATGAAGAGAAATAACTAAGTGCTTACCAAAAAATTAGCCATGTAATATGTATTTCAAAATCATACATAGGAGAATACCTCAGACTTGTGAAGTTTCTATTAAGTCTGCAGCACCGAGCTGCAGGGAGTATAAAAATGAATGTTGAGATGAGAGTCTACTAGCGAGTCTCAGTATTTCACAGACATACATTTAGTAATTCTAAATCAAGTTAGATATTTGTCAGTTCAGTAGGCCAGTAATGACCCAAATGCTATGGAAAAGTTACTCCAGAAGGGAGGAAGAAACCCTTTTCTAACCGGGGATTTTGGGCATGTTTCTTAGGTAGGGTAAGAGGGATTTTACTGGGCTTAGAAGAATGGGTTTGGCTTCAAAAGACAGCTTTGAGAAAAGATGGCATTTAGGCAGGAGGTGCTTAAATAAGAGCGCCAAATGAAAGAAGTGGAAGGTATATTTGGAGAATAGTGAGCAGAACAGTTTGGGTGAAATATAAGAACTGTGGGCTGGAGGAATAGAAACTGGGGGTTTGAAGTGGGTTTTGGCCTAGGTTGTGGAGGGCTTTGAGTGGCAATCTGAGAAATCTGGATTCTAATATTTCTTCTTTTTTTTTTTTTTTTTTTTTGAGACAATGTCTCACTCTGTTGCCCAGGCTTGAGTGCAGTGGTGTGATCTCAGCTCACTGCACCCTTGCCTCCGGGTTTCAAGCAATTCTCCTGCCTCAGCCTCCTGGGTTGCTGGGACTACAGGCACCTGCCACCACACCCGGCTAATTTTTGTATTTTTAGTAGAGACGCCGTTTCACCAAATAGGCCAGACTGGTCTCGACCTTGTGATCTGCCTGCCTCAGCCTCCCAAAGTGCTGGGATTACAGGCGTGAGCCACTGTGCCCAGCCAGTATATTTTGTTTTTGCATTAAACTTTAATAATACAGTGGTTATTATCCATTTATGTTTACATTGGTATGAAATATGAGAAAAATCAGATAAGACACTCCGTATGGTTTCAGTTAAAAAATTCTTTGAGTAGCTTAGAATAGAACTGATGAAAACTTTGGCCTGAAGTATAGCTTTTTGTTTTTCTTTTTTTTTTTTCTTTGAGACAGTGTCTTGCTCTGTCACCCAGACTTGGGGGGCAATGGCGCATTATCTTGGCTCACTGCAACTTCCACCTCCCAGGCTCAAGCAATTCATGCCTCAGCCTCCCGAGTAGCTGGGATTACAGGCATGCGCCACCATGCCTGGCTAATTTGTATATTTTTAGTAGAGACGGGTTCCCTGTGTTGGCGAGGCTGGTCTCAAACTCCTGACCTGAAGTGATCCACCCACGTCGGCCTCCCAAAATGCTGGGATTACAGGTGTGAGGCCCCACGCCCAGCCTGAGAAAGGACAGCTTGTTTTGGAGACAAGAGTCTCACTCTGTTGCCCAGGCTGGAGTGCGGTGGTGCCACCTGGCTCACTGCAACCTCTGCCTCCTGGGTTCAAGTGATTTTCCTGCCTCAGCCTTCTGAGTAGCTGGGGCTACAGATGTGTGCCACCATGCCTGGCTGATTTTGTATTTTTAGTAGAGATGGGGTTTCACCATGTTGGCCAGGCTGGTCTTGAACTCTTTACCTCAGGTGATCTGCCCGCCTTGGCTTCCCAAAGTGCTGGAAGAAAGTATAGCTTTTGAGCATCAGTTAATGATGCAGAGACAGAAAACACATGAAACTGAAGAACATTTTATAAAGCAGCAGTATATCATTTGCTTTGTCACTTTGGAGTCTCTTTTATCTCAGTTTCTCTCCCAGGGCCAGTGCTAGCCTACATATATTTGGTACATGCATTCTAGATAGACAGGAAGTTCAGCAACTTTTGGAGAAGGATTTTTCTGTCTTGCTTCTTGCTGTTTGGAAGTGTTATGAATCTCAGCTGAGAGTAATTGGAATAATCTTTGCTACCATACAGACTGGCAGTATGTTTCAAATAGCCCTGAGTGTAGCAGGAGCCACCACAGAAAGCCATTTCAGGATCATGCATACAGTCTTTTCAGTTCATGAGATGTAGTTTTCAAAGGCAGTGAATGTTCAATAACAACACCACCAAAATTTTACTAAATTAAAAGAGTTTCTTGAAAATGCTTTTCATAATTTTCACAATGGGGCAGATGATTTGATGAATTAATTTTCTTAGAAGGTCAATGTCCCCTTAATCTCTATAGCTGGAACTGGTAACTTTTAAATGCAGTATGCTGCAGAGTAATTTCCTCATATTCATAGTTCATACATGTATAATACACACACTGTTTATATGTATATACATACTGCTTTTATCTAGTTCTTTATGATCCTTCCCTTCTCTCCCTTCTCCTCCTCCTCCTTCCCTCCCCCTTTCATCTTCCCTCTTCCTCCCTTTCTCCCCCCTCTTTCCTTTCTGTTAATGTCTTTTAAAAAATTGCCACTTAATATTTAAGATGTGATTATTTAGAATAATAACTCTTCTTTCCTTAAGGATTAATCAGTTCTTTGAAGTGCTCGGAGCTTTTCGTATGAAAAGCGTAATATAAGTGTGTTGTCAGTATTGTCATAATGGTAATGATGTCCACATCAATTAAAACCATCTGTTTTCATCCTGATTTTCTGTTATGTGGTTCTTAGGTTCAGAATTTAACATTACGCAGCCAGAAGTTGGGTGTATTATCTAGCTCACAGAATGGTCCACCAAAAAGCACTAGTCAAACTCAGTCATTGACAATTTGTCATAACAAAACAACAGTGACCAGTTCTAAAATCAGCCAACGAGATCCTTCTCCAGAAAGTAATAAGAAAGGAGAAAGCCCAAGTCTGGAATCACGAAGCACAGCTGTCACCCGGACATCGAGTATTCACCAGTTAATAGCACCAGGTGGGATAAAACTTTCGTTGAAAATAGTTGTATTATTCATTTTCTTAGCAGACAGCAAAACAAAGGATGTTGATTACTTGAACAGGAGTGACACCTTTAAAACATTTTAGAATGTGAATTTTATAAATTTAATCTTAATGTGTAGCTTGAAGAGAGACAAAAAAGCCCAACAGATAAAATAAATTGTAACAATATAATAGGTTTTTTAAAATCAAATAACATTTGATTAACATCTTTAAGTGCTGGTCTCTCCTTATATTGATAAAACCTTTTAGCTTTAAAAAAAGATTTGCCTGTAGTTTATTTAATATACTTCAGTGGGGTAATTTTTAAAGCTTATAAAAAAGCAGTATACTGTTTTGTTTAAAGTTGTTATCAGTGGGAGAAATTTGTCACTTTGAAACACAGAACTATGCATAATTATTTTCCTTATGTTGTTGCCTTTTTCTGTCTTTGATTTCATCTCTGAGAGGATCATCTCAGGCAATGAACTGAGTCATTGTCTTTCTTCTCAAGCTTTGAATTCAACCTGTGCATCCTTTACTTTATCCAGATAATCTTGCCTCATGGTTCTCATACTGAAAATGTGGGGGCCATCTAGAGTGACTTTGCTGCCTCTCTATTCATCTCAGAATTTCTCAGGATTGAACTTTCTTTACTTTTAATAAGATAAAGAGTTACATGTATTCTTAAACTTAGCACCATTTGCCCCTGTTGTTGATCCTACCTTTTTTTTAAAACCTTCTTTAATACTTAATTGTTAGAGCATCTTTTATCTTCTCATACCAGACCGTTTCCTTTGTTTCTCAACCATAATTAGGTCTCCCTTATTCTTAATGTATCTGCATGTTTTTCTAAATCACTATAACTGTAGCTTATTTGAGTATGTGTGTGTGTATGTGTATGTGTGTTGCACTGGGCTAGACACCTTATAAATGTTTCATTAAAAAAAAAACTTCTGGCCGGGTGCAGTGGGTCATGCCTGTAATCCCAACACTTTGGGAGGCTGAGATGGTGGATCACTTGAGGTCAGGAGTTTGAGACCAGCCTGGCCAACATCGCGAAACCCCATCTTTACTAAAAATATAAAAATTAGCGGGGCATGGTGGTATGCACCTATAGTCCCAGCTACTTGGGAGGCTGAGGTATGAGAGTTGCTTGAACCTAGAAGGCAGAGGTTGCAGTAAGCCAAGATTGCACCACTGCACTCCAGCCTAGGTGACAGAGCAAGACTGTCTCAAAAAAAAAAAAACAACTTCCTTTGTTCCAGCAACCTCATTGGGGAAGCATCTTTTTTCTGTCCTTTTATAACGCTGCTTTACTTTTTAAAGACTTGTTTTACACTTAGGTGTAAGTGTAAAATACTCCACTTAAACCTATTTCACTTCTCATGTTTCCTGTGTTAATATTGCCAGCATTATCTACATCACTGAATCTCAAAACTGTGGAATTGTCTGATTACCCTAGTTAGAAATTTCTCCTCACTCTGAACTTGTATGGTCCCTTCTGGTTCTTTTTCTTTTATAGTTATTTGTATACTGATCTTAGCTTCTCTGCTAGATAGTAAGCTCCTGAGGGTAGGATAATAATATTGAGCATTTATGTATGTGTGAGGCACTGTGTTAGTACTTTACATTAACTCTTTAATCCCTTTTTAGATTCACCTTTTCATCTTTGTATCTTGACAGCGCTAAGTTGTACCTTGTATGTACTTACCTATATTAGGTGGGAGGTACATATTTGTTGGATTAATAGTTCATTTTTTTCCCCCACTTGTATTTTAGGAATTATTGCAGTCTTTCTTATTGGTATTAATTAGGTATCACTATGCTTAGAATTGTTAAATGTGAATCTTATGTAAGTAGGCTTTGATATAATGTATAAAGTAATAAATATATTCATAGTATAATTAGACACTTTTTTTTTTTAAACCTCTGTGTGCTAGGCGCTGCTCTCTGTATGGCATAAAAGCTGGGTTTTTACACTACTGTTTTTACACTACTATTCTCAGCCTCAAACCAGCATCCAGCCAGTTTTGCCAGTCAGTGTGGAGCAGTGGTGACCCATGGTGCTTAGAATGACTGCTCAGGGACAATATCTAGTGATCCCTGAAGTTTTGATAAATTATAATGAAGGGTAGGTTAGTTTCTTTCCAAAGAGAATGTTACTTTCAGAGAAAGCTGGGAACTATTTCAGGGTTAGTTCAAGCAAGGAGATCTAGTTTTGGATTTTTCAGGCCCCCTTAACTCTCAATACCTAGTTCTGAATTGCAGCTTATTCCCTCTTTCATTAATAGTGTGATAATATGCTTGTAGTTTGCGTTCCTCTGGTGGTCAATATCTTGTATAAGTATGGAGGAAACCAGTAAGCCAAAACCACCAGAGTCTCAGGTCAGTTTTAATTCCAAATTCAGATCTCACATGTATTACCCAAACCCCAGTTTTCCGTGATGTTGATTGGAAACAAAACCACTCAGAAAATCCTAAACTACTTAAAAGTTTCTTAAGCCTTACACTGCAGTTATTCAAAGCCATTCATATCTTCTATTAAGGCTATAGCTATATTTTTCACCTTTTTAGTTTTTCTGCTTTTATTGGTAAGAAGTTAATCTCAGCCTGGTGCAGTGGCTCACGCCTATAATCCCAGCACTTTGGGAGGCTGAGGTGGGCAGATCACAAGGTCAAAAGATCAAGACCATCCTGGCCAACATGGTGAAACCATGTCTCTACTAAAAATACAAAAATTAGCCAGGCATGGTGGCGCGCGCTTGTAATTCCAGCTACTCGGGAGACTGAGGCAGGAGAATCACTTGAACCTAGGAGGCGGAGGTTGCAGTGAGCCGAGATCGCACCACTGCATTCCAGCCTGGCAACAGAGCGAGACTCAAGTCTTTAAAAAAAAAAAAAAAAAAAAAGTTAATCTGAAGCTAAGATATTTTGAGAGATTCTAAATTGATTATTTGTCCTCAATAAGAAAAATGTTCCTTCAAGTCATTTTAAATGTAAAACAATCTACTTGTATTCTAATGTAGTGTAGTCTAATAATTATCGTAGTGTACATGGATATTGTTTTCTTATATGTATTTTTAGGGTGCTAAAGTAACTTGGTTTTCTTTATCATTTCTTTTTGAAGGTGGAGTTTCCACTTGATACTTAGTAAATTCTATTTTTAATATATAAAATAAGGTCAAACTTTAAATGTCTGGAAATATGAACTGTATTAGAGCTGAAGTTTTTTTATCACAGTTTTTAGAGATTTTATGAAACTAGTTTAATTGGAAAAATATATACTGTTTTTTGTAGACATTAATTCATTGTGTAGTGAGAAGGTCCTGTATTAATTAATCTGCTCCAGCTGCCCTAACAGAATACTATAGACCGTGGCTTAAAGAGCACAAATTAATTTTCTCACAGTCCTGGAGGCTGGAAAGCCCAAGATCAAGGTCTGGCAATATTCAGTTTCTGGTGAGGGCTCACTTCCTGGCTTGCAGATGTCCTCACCTGGCCTTTTCTTGGGTGTGTGGTGGGTGGAGGGAGCAGAAGTTCTCTGATGTCTTTTCTTAAAAGGGCACAAACCATGTCATGTTGGGGCCCCACCCTATGACCTCATTTAACCTTCGTTATATCCTTAGAGGCCCCATCTACAAATACACATTGGGAGTTAGGGCTTCAGCATATGAATTTTGTCCCACACTCAGTCCATAGCAGGACCCTAGACTCAGTTAGGATCATAGGTTCTTTTGGACCTAACGCTGTCCTTAATAGCCAGATGATTTCAGGCAAGTCACTTAACTACTCACAGTTTCTTCATCTGTAATGTGTTGGATTGGTATAGTACCCTGTCACTTTCATGGGATTGCTGTACTGAATGAAATAGTATGTGTTACTTTTTTTTTGTTTGAGATGGAGTCTTGCACTGTCTCCCAGGCTGGAGTGCAGTGGCACAATCTCGGCTCACTGCAAGCTCGGCCTCCTGGGTTCACGCCATTCTCCTACCTCTCAGCCTCCCAAGTAGCTGGAACTACAGGCACTCGCCACTGTGCCTGGCTAATTTTTTGTATTTTTAGTAGAGACAGGGTTTCACCATGGTCTTGATCTCCTGACCTCGTGATCCGCCCACCTTGGCCTCTCAAAGTGCTGGGATTACAGGCGTGAGCCACTGCGCCCGGCCAATATGTGTTACTTAAATAATAGAATTATATATATGTGAGAGATGATGTCAGCCATTAATTCTCTGACTATAAAGCCACCCTAAGAAGATGTTTATTAAAATTAGAGAAATTAACCAACATGATAGGATTTTTTTTTCAGAGCACTAGGTGTTTTCTTTGACAGAGGTATTGCTTCACATAGCCACATAATTCTGTAATATATGTGCTTATCAGTTGGACTTATGGACTAATATAAACACACTTTGATTTCTGATCCAAGAAAAATGTAATTTAGATGAAAGGATAGATTGCTAATCTATTGGATTGTCACAGCTCTAGGATATAAAAAGATTGCTTACTTACCAGAGCATAGAAAGAATTGTTACTCTTTTTTTTTTTGAGATGGCATCTCCCTCTGTTGCCCAGGCTGGAGTTGCAATGGCGCGATCTTGGCTCACTGCAACTTTCGCCTCCTGAGTTCAAGCAATTCTCCCACCTTAGCCTCCTGAGTAGTAGCTGGTTTTACAGGCATGTGTTACCACGCCTGGCTAATTTTTGTATTTTTAGTAGAGATGGGGTTTCACCAAGTTGGCCAGTCTGGGCTTGAACTTCTGACCTCAGGTGATCCTCCTGCCTCCGCCTCCCAAAGTGCTGGGATTATGGGCATGAGCCATCGTGCCCAGCCAGAATTGTTATTCTAGTAGATATAATATCCATAGTACTTCAAGAGTATGGTAAATTTAACTTAAAACTTTACTTACAAAATTGAATTGAAATGGGCCTTTGCTCTTACGCTTGCAAAAAAATCTATTTACTTTTCTGTAGGAGGGAAATAATAATACCCATCTATACCACAGGCATTTTGTAAGTATGAATGAGAGACATGTGAAAGTATTTTGAGTCCCTTGGATGAAGGGCACTCTATAGAAATCCAAGATTTAGTTAATTCACCCTTTTTGAATACTGTATAGCATAGTCTGTATCAACACAGTTTTAAAGGGCTGACATAAAATTTTCAGTCTTAGTGTAAAGTACTAGCCCTAGATATTATATTATTATATGAAAATTATTTTGTTGATTTCCTTTTTTTAATTTTATTTAAACAATTAGTGGATATTTATTGAACTTTCTAAATGCCTCTTTTTCGGATGTTAATCAGATGTTAATTTCTGTAAAGGATTCCAAAATTTTTAAATAATAACCAAATATAAAAATGTTTTTTTAAAAAGTTATGGAAAATATTTATAAAGTTGTTACAAATGTGGTTGAACACAAAAATAGATGTGTAAGGTATAATGTAGTCTTTCTCCTAATATTCCAAGGTTAGGAAAAAAAATTGCCCTGTCTTTAAATCTGTGTTGAATTTGTGTAATTTTTACCTGATATTAACATTAAGCAATTGTTTCAATTTATCTTCTTGTGAACTCTTAGGGAGGATTTCACCAGCATCTCCCTTTCTATAAACATGTGTCACCAGTTTGCAGAAAAGGCATAATGCTGGGGGGCTCCCTACCGTTTGATTGTGCTAATTCTTACATATATTTATTCCTGTTGAGAGTGGCTTCTTTGTGGAGAAAACCTCATACTGTCACATCAGTCATTGAAGGGTTTTTTTGGTGAGGGAAAAAGGTTAACAAAATCCTTATTTAGGTAGCATGGGCTTCTGATTGTCTCATTCTCTGCAAGCAAAACTAGTGTTTTCCTAGATTTAGAATGGCCCCTGAGTTTCAGTTCTTAGTTACAGTGATTATTTAACTGTGCTACAGGATTTACACGTCTTTTGCTTAATCACATTAAATTATTATAAAAAACATTTTCTCTTCCTGGGTCAAATGATATACCCTCATCTCAGCTCAAAAATGGAAACTTATTTGGAAAGCTTTATAAGTAATTACCCTATTAGTTGGAAGCAAGTTTAGATATGGATTAGAAAGGATGAGATCTTTATTTTATGAATTTTATTGTAGCCTTTTTATGATTTTGAAGTTATCTTTATATATGTTTTACTTGTTCTATGATGATACTCCTCTTTTCCCACAAAGAAGAAATTCAAGTGTATAAACTTTGCTAAAAGTTAATGCAGATATTCAGGTGACCTATAAAATATAATAAGAACAAACTATGTACAGATTCAGATTATTAAGTTTTAGGCAGTTTTCTTTTAGAACTTATCACAATACAGTATATTTTATGATATTTTAAAGTTTTCCAAGGAAAACCTGTTTGTCATTAAATATTCAGGCCAGGTGTGGTGGCTTACACTTGTAATCCCAGCACTTTGGGAGGCTGAGTTGGGCAGATTACTTGAGGTCAGGTTTCAAGACCATCCTGGCCAACATGGTGAAATCCGTCTCTACTGAAAATACAGAAGTTAGCCGGGCGTGGTTGTGGGTGCCTGTAATCCCAGCTACTCGGGAGGCAGAGACAGGAGAATTGCTTGAACCAGGGAGGTGGAGGGTTGCAGTGAACTGAGATTGTGCTACTGCTCCCCAGCCTGGGTGACAAGAGCAAGACTCTGTCTCAAAAAAAAAAAAAAATTTTTTTTTTTTTTCAAATTACTCTTGTCTGGAAAACTTGTAATAGAATTCTGATGATTATGACCTTCTGATAATGAACACTTTTTCCTTTAGAGTTATTTACAAATTTCTGTATTTTTGAAATCAATACTAATTGTCATTTTTTTCTCTCACAGCTTCATATTCTCCAATTCAGCCTCATTCTCTAATAAAACATCAGCAGATTCCTCTTCATTCACCACCTTCCAAAGTTTCCCATCATCAGCTGATATTACAACAGCAGCAACAGCAAATTCAGCCAATCACACTTCAGAATTCAACTCAAGACCCACCCCCATCCCAGCACTGTATACCACTCCAGAACCATGGGCTTCCTCCAGCTCCCAGTAATGCCCAGTCACAGCATTGTTCACCGATTCAGAGTCATCCGCCTCCTTTAACAGTGTCTCCTAATCAGTCACAGTCAGCACAGCAGTCTGTAGTGGTGTCTCCTCCACCACCTCATTCACCAAGTCAGTCTCCTACTATAATTATTCATCCACAAGCACTTATTCAGCCACACCCTCTTGTGTCATCAGCTCTCCAGCCAGGGCCAAATTTGCAGCAGTCCACTGCTAATCAGGTACAACCTACAGCACAGTTGAATCTTCCATCCCATCTTCCACTTCCAGCTTCCCCTGTTGTACACATTGGCCCAGTTCAGCAGTCTGCCTTGGTATCCCCAGGCCAGCAGATTGTCTCTCCATCACACCAGCAATATTCATCCCTGCAATCCTCTCCAATTCCAATTGCAAGTCCTCCACAGATGTCGACATCTCCTCCAGCTCAGATTCCACCACTGCCCTTGCAGTCTATGCAGTCTTTACAAGTGCAGCCTGAAATTCTGTCCCAGGGCCAGGTTTTGGTGCAGAATGCTTTGGTGTCAGAAGAGGAGCTTCCAGCTGCAGAAGCTTTGGTCCAGTTGCCATTTCAGACTCTTCCTCCTCCACAGACGGTTGCGGTAAACCTACAAGTGCAACCACCAGCACCTGTTGATCCTCCAGTGGTAAGCCCTTGGAAGCTCTTTGACTTTCTTGCTGAACTGAAAGTAAAAACGATTTTTTCCCACACTATATTTTATTGCAAGATCTAAATGCCTATGAACTAAAAAAGCTTGAAATTTCCATGTGTCATTAGTCTGACAAACATGCTGTATGGGCAAAAAAAGTGCCATTGTTTGTTTAGTATGGTTGCATGCTTTATAATTTGTGATGGTAATTAAAGTCCCTCGTTAATTTTATTACTATTTAAACAAATCCATCTGCTATCTTTACAGAGTTGATTTTTTTTCCCCAAGGGAATGCATTTGAACCAGTGTCATCTGCACAAAGTTTTTTCTCTTAAGGTGATTATCCTTCATAGATCCCTTCTGTTGGCTTGTATGTTCTCAAAACGTGTGGTTAATCTAGCCTAATCCTTTTAGTTTTATGCATCCTGAAGTCCTGGGCCTTTAGGGGGTTTTGTTTCAAGTTGGAGGTATGCTTATATGATGTAGTTTTTTGGCAAAATTATCCTTTGTAGTTGAAATTTTATTAAAAAATTTATTCTAGGAGAGAGTCCAACTTTGCCAAAAATTTAACTGTAGACCATCTTATAGAATTATTAAACTTAATAGTTTTTTATTTCCACTGAGAGAAAATATGTACTTAAAATATTTCTCACTTAAAAAGCTCAAAAAATCTTGGTGGATAAATTTAATACTGAGGATGAAAAAATCCGTTTAGAGGAGTAAAAGTTTTGAATAATTGAGATTGTAGTGGAATTTTTAAGAATAACCTCTAAAAACAATTACTTGTTGCCTAGAAAGGAAAATTATCTTGAAAAATACTTTTCTTTAAACGTTCTCTAAAAGACATTTTAAGATTTATAAAACTGAAATAAGGTCTCTAATTGTTTAGTCAGAAGGGTCAGATTCATAATTTGTAACTGAGAAGAATCTTCCTAAAGGGAGGTTTTGTATTACACCTCATCCAAGAGATTTTGTCACCTAAAAGCTAATAAATAACTATCTCAGAAAGGAGTTTCAAAGTATTTTTTATTATTAATACTTGCTTTTTCTTTTCATACTTGGATTATCCTCAATGTTCTTTAATGGAAAGCATTTTGGTTCTCATGAAACAAATGTATAGATTTTTGTGTTCTTGTCATTCTGACTGATCTTAATAGGCACAAAGAGATTGAATTCTTCTTTCTGTGAATTTTTATTAAAATTAGAACTTGACTGGGTGTGGTGGCTCACACCTGTAATCCTAGCACTTTGGGAGGCTGAGGTGGGCTGATCACCTGAGCTCAGGAATTCGAGACCAGCCTGGCAAACAAGACAAAACCCTGTCTACACAAAAAAATAAAAAAATTACCCAGGAGTGGTGGTCATGCCTGTAATCCCAGCTACTTGGGGTGCTGAGGCAGGAGAATCACTTGAACCTGGGAGGTGGAGGTTGCAGTGGGCTGAGATTGTGGCCTGGGTAACTGAGCAAAACTTTGTCTCAAAAAAAGGGAAAGAAATTTTTTTTTAAAGTCTGTCATTCAGTTATCATGTCTATCTTTTCTTTCAATAGATTTTTGGAGTTTACTATGGATATTGTAACAAAAACAGGAGTTTAGGAAGTGTACAGCACCTTCAAAAAATTTTTAATTTAAATTACTTTCTCACTACCTAGTTCAGTGATTTGGTTTTTAACCAGTAAAAAGTAAGGCAGTTTCCAGACAGGGCATAATAGAAAAGAAAAAAATACAATTAAAAAACAAACAAAAAAAAAGTAAAAAATACTTCTTTATAGTCATTGTATTTTTTTAATTGTTTGTATTAGGGGAAGCTATGGAGGAGCAAATTTGGGATAGAAATATAAGGCTGGGTGTGGTGCCTCACACCTGTAATCCCAGCACTTTGGGAGGCCAAGGCAGGTGGATCACCTGAGGTCAGGAGTTCAAGACCAGCCTGGCCAACATAGAGAAACCCCATCTCTACTAAAAATACAAAAATTAGCTGGGCATGGTGGCGAATGCCTGTAATCCCAGCTGCTTGGGAGACTGAGGCACAAGAATAGCTTGAACCTGCAAGGCAGAGGTTGCAGTGAGCCGAGATCGCACCACTGCACTCTAGGTTGGGTGACAGAGTGAGACTCTGTCTCAGAAAAAAGAGAAAGAAAGAGAGAGAGGGAAAGAGAAATGTATATATTTGGAACATAATACTTTAAAAACTAAAGCCAAAAATATTTTCTTGCCTCCTGCACTTCTACCTTAAAACATTTTTGGAAGTTTAAAAAATGATATTAATAACTTTCTCTGCTATCACTGATATGGTTATTATGCTTGCTATGAATATTTCTGTGTTACCTTTCTAAATATTTTTTAATCTTTTATCTTTCTTTGGGTAACAAAACTCTTTAATAATTTATTTAACTTCTATTTTTTTATTACCTTTGACCAAATGTGTTATTTTTTCCATTAAAACACATTTCTTCACAGTTTATATTTTTCTGGTTGTTTCAAATACTTAAAGGTAGAAAGTTGTATTTTTTAAGAGATGTGGAAATTTGAAAGATCAGGGTGAATTTCCAAAGTAAAATCAGGATGTTTTTAAGATACTTAAGAATTAAAGTTTTTTATTGACATTTGGATATAAATATGTTGAGGGTAGATAATTTAGAACTAATAAACAAATATTCCTCAGTTTATTTAGGAAAGGGAAACAGATGGGAATATTGGACTTTATTGAGGTAAGTTTGGCAGTCTTTGTTATTTTTAGAATAGTTATAGTTATGAGCTAAACAGTAATTGTGATGTGCAGTTTCCTAATGATCTTGTAAGTGAGCAAAACCTCTACTTTGCTTTTTTTCAACATTTTAGTTGTTGCATTTAGATTTGTTAATGCTGATTGTGCCAGATGTCTGTGACAGATTTGTTTTTGCCTACTTCTTTTGTTCATGCACTTATTTCGTCTTTATATGAGAGTTCTGGAAGTACGTATAGTTAGCTTTAAGTATAATGAGTGGAAAGTATTTTACAGTGTTTGGTGGATTATTTCAAAATATGCTGTTTGTGTTATGGCTCTTTTCATCCTTTAAATTCTTCTGTTGTTTTTAAAAATCAGAATTCTATGTATGATCAAGCTTTGATTTCTTAAAAGATGCTCTAGCAGATGTTTGAATAACATGTAACTGCATTAGGATTAAAGAGAGTTTCAGCATTTTAAGCAAAGATCATGTTCTTGGGAAGAAAAGTACTATCTATTATACTGAAGGAATGCTACATAGATAAAATTGAGCTGGTTGATAAAACCGTATTTGTTTAATTATCTCTGAATTAACATTTCTAACACTAAGGCAAATTAAAGTTTTCACTGTGACAGCACTTACCCTTGGGGACTAGATTTTTTTTCTTAATACCCAGACGCTTTTTAGAATGATTTTACCTATATTGGGCGCTATCATCATTTAAAAAACCGTTATCATCATGAACAGATGTAGCAGGTATAATTGTTGCTCTGAGCAATAACAAATGACTGCTTTCACTTTTGAGATTCAGGCATGAGGCACAGAATCTAATCTGTCTTAGTTTCCAGGTGCAGGGTTGTGAGCAAATAACTTTAAAAAATGTTGCCTACTTTGTAGCTGATTCAGATCATGGTTCTGAATTTTATATTTGGTATAATATTATATTTGATATAAAATTATCCAGTAACAGTAGAATTTTAAAGTTGTACAAAAGACAAAAGAAGATGTTTTATTCTTAGTGGAGCCTTGGAAAGATGATTTATTTTAGTTTAGTTTTGACTGTCACCTATTGTTACCTTTATAACTTATTGTTATATCCTTATAGATGAAGCTTGATTGTCCCTTTTACAACACATGGGTTTTTTGGTTTCAGAAATCCTGACCACTTTTATATACAATTTTATATACCTTAAAACATCAAACTTTTAAAATTGTTTGATTAAAAATGCACACAATATTAGATGTCACTGAAAGGTTTCTTGTGAATGTTGAAAGTTTTGTTTGTTTGTTAACATTTATGGGGCTAGGTGTGCAGTGGCTTATGCCTGTAATCCCAGCACTTTGAGAGGCCAAGGCAGGAGGATCACTTGAGCCCAGGAATTTGAGACCAGCCTGGGCAACATGGTGAGACCTCATCTCTACAAAAAAACATTTTAAAATTAGCTGGGCGTGTTAGTGAACATCTGTGGTCCCAGCTACTCAGGAAGCTGAGCCTGGAGGTCAAGGCTGAGTGAGCCATGATGGAGCCACTGCTCTCCAGCCTGGGCAGCAGAGTGAGACCCTTTCTCAAAAAACATTTTTTTAACGGGAAGAATAGTCAGTTTGGTTAAATAAGATTTTAAAAACTCATAATTTTTGTAAACTTAAGTAATAAACTTTATAGGTAAAAGAAGGGAAATTAACTCTTATGGCTTTGTTTTTAGTAATCATTTTTCATAAATAATGGTTAAGTAAATAATAAATGATAAATTAAAATACCCATGTCAATCTCTAGAAGTATTCTTTGAAATGGAAACATTAATAATAAGGTATTGGTCTGGCACGGTGGCTCATGCCTGTAATCCCAGCATTTTGGGAGGCCAAGCCGGGCAGATCACGAGGTCAAGAGATCAAGACCATCGTGGCCAACCTGGTGAAACCCTGTCTCTACTAAAAAGTACAAAAAATTAGCTGGGCGTGGTGGCATGTGGCTGAGGCAGGAGAATCACATGAACCCGTGAGGCAGAGATTGCAGTGAGCTGAGTTCGCACCACTGCGCTCCAGCCTGGCAACAGGGCGAGACTCCGTCAAAAAAAAAAAAAGTATTTCTACTTACATAGCTCCTTCTCAGGTTGCTTTCAATTCCATTTTCCTTTTTCTTTTTTTTGAGATGGAGTCTCACTCTGTCACCCAGGCTGGAGTGCAGTGGCCTGATCTTGGCTCACTGCAACCTCTGTCTCCCAGGTTCAAGTGATGCTCTTGATTCAGCCTCCCAAGTAGCTGGAACTACAGGCACCTGCCACTATGTCTGGCTACTTTCCTTTTTTTTTGTTTTTTAGTAGACGCAGGGTTTCACCATGTTGACCAGGCTGGTGTGGAACTCCTGCCCTCCAGTGATCCACCCACCTCGGCCTCCCAAAGTGCTGGATTGCAGGCATGAGCCACTGCACCTGGCTCCATTTTCCTTCTTAAGTATAATCTTATACAATTGGATAACAAGGTGGTTAAGTTATAGACTTAAAAACTTTTCTCCCATAAGTATGGAACATTATAAAAAGAGTAAAAAAATAAGGTGTCAAAGAGCTTAGGCTGTGTGTGTGTGTATGTGTGTGTATTTCAAGGAAAGATATTTTCTGTTTGCGTATTACTGTATAAAGAGTCATTAGATTGTTGAGTAGAACAGAAAAGGAGAGATGTAATTGCATATCATTTTTGTAGATTCTCAGATGTTACTTTTTATAATTTAATCTTTAAATTACATAATAATAAGGAAGAGCCTGGGATAGAATCCTACGAGTCCTAATATAATGTGTCATTGTGGGGATTTACTTAGTGTGCCTGTGAAAAATGTTAGTATCTGTTTTGAGTCATGACAGTTAGAAACTAACAAAAACAGTTGAATTCCCAAAATCGTTATTTTATTTGTATTTTTTAATCATCAAAATTAAAAATATGTTCAGACTTGACTATCCTTTTTTGAAACCTTAGTGATTTTTGGTGTAGATACTGATTCACAGCTTGCTTTCAGTCAAATATTATCAAGAAATATGAAAAACTTCATTTGAGCAATTTTAAAGTTTTCCTTTCAGCCTGTCAGTAGTCATTTTTGCCTTGTTTTTAAATTTAATACACATAGAATTTAGTTTTCTGAAATTAAGAACACTTGATTAAATTTAGTTTTGGAAACATTTTAAGGCAGTGTGGTTTGTCATTGCAGGTTTATCAGGTAGAAGATGTGTGTGAAGAAGAAATGCCAGAAGAGTCAGATGAATGTGTCCGGATGGATAGAACCCCACCACCACCCACTTTGTCTCCAGCAGCTATAACTGTGGGGAGAGGAGAAGATTTGACTTCTGAACATCCTCTGTTAGGTAAGAAAATACCAACATTTGTGGGAATTTTTCTATTTGATAAATGTTAATAATAGGAAAAGTTGATTTTTTTCCCTCTCCTCCTTTCCCCTCTTTTTGTAGCTGGAACTACAGGTACACGCCATTACACCTGGCTCATTTTTTATTTTTTGTAGAGACGAGGTCTTACTATGTTGCTTAAGCTGGTCTTGAACTACTGGCCTTTAGCGATTCTCCTGCTTTGGCCTTGCAAAGTGTCGGGATTACAGGTGCGAGCCATTGCACCCAGCCTGTTTCTTCACTAGAGATGATATTAAACGAATTTGTTATGGTAGTTAATTGTAACAAAATACAGATTTGAGTTTAAGATTCTTTTTTTGAGACAGGGTCTCACTCTGTCATCCAGGCTCAATCGTAGCTCATTGCAACCCCGATCTCCTGGGCTCAAGTGATTCTTCTGCCCCAGCTTCCAAATGGCTGGGTCTACAGGAACCTTCCAGCACACTTGGCTAATTTTTTATTTTTGTAGAGTTAGGATCTCATCCTGTTGCCCAGGCTTGTCTCAAACTCCTGGGTACAAGTGATCCTCTTGCCTCGGCTTCCCAAAGTGCTGGGATTACAGGTGTGAGCTACCATGCCCAGCCTGGAAAATTCTTTGATAGCAGGGAAGCTCAATAACTTACAAATTGTTCAGTACCATCCAAATGAAAACCTATCATTTCAGGCTTCTATATTTTCAGTGGTTTGTGCAGACATGTTTCATATGCTCATTCACATTCATGTATCAGGCTATTTCTAGTTTAAAAATTAGAATAAGTGAAAATTCTTTCAAAAGATTTAAATTATACTTTCCAAAAATCATGAAATATTCTAAGCCATATGTGATATTCCTCACAATTGTTTGTGATTCAGACTGAGTAAGTGCTTTCAAAAGTGTTCTTTAGTATTTATAGTACTTAAGTTAAACCTCACTAAATTCTTACAAGAATTTGTAAGACATGAATTAAAAAAATTCTTACCTGGGCTTGTTGGTACATGCCTGGAGTCCCAGCTTTGTTGGAGGCTGAGGTAGGAGCGTCACTTGAGCCCTGGAGTTCAAGTTCAGCCTGTACAATGGAGCTACAAAAAAAAGTTGTCTCTTAAAAAAAAGTTCTTGTGCTTAACCATTCAAAGTCTTATTCACGATTTCAGTGCTGTTTATGAGTTCAAACAAATCTCCTGTATGTGCCTCCTCACAAAGCTACTGTGTATCCTAGGTATTTTACTAAACATAAATGTTTCATGTTATTTTTTAATATTTATGAATGTTAGGGTTAGAGGTTGGCACACTGCTCACTGTTCAGATCTTTTCTGCTGCCTATTTTCTTTCTCTTTTTTTTTTAAGAGACAGGGTCTCACTTTGTTGCCCAGGCTGGCCTCTTAACTGCTGAGCTCATGTAATCCTGCCTCAGCCTCCTGAATAGCTGGTAGTACAGGTGCTCTCCACCATGCATGGCTTGCTGCTTATTTTTGTATGGTCCAAGCTAATAATGGCTTTTACATTTCTGAATGGTTGAAAATAATCAAAAGAATAATAATCGTTCATGTCATGAAAATATATGTAAAATTCAAATTTCATTGTCCATAAATAGAGTTCTGTGAAACATAGCCACACACTCATTTGTTCAGATATTGTGGCTGCTTTTTACTAACCACAAAGTTAAGTAGTTGTAGAAACCATACGACCATTTATGGAAAGTTTGCTGACGCCTGATCTGAATAATACTGATCTTGGTTCTGGCTTTGTTGTACGTATTCTGTTCTATTGAATATGTACATTGCCCTCATTATCATTTTCAGTTAAGACGGACTACTACAACAGGCATGGAAACAAACTGTTGTGGGACACTGTCCCTGTCTGCTGTCCAGGCAACACTTGCCCTCTGCTTTCTTTAGCGTGCCATATCCCCTTCCCTTCTTTTCTCTCGAGCTTCTATTCCCTCACTACTATCGCAAATCTCTAGAGAGCCTAAAAGGGGAAATTTAATTTTCTTTTAACTTTTCCCCCTCCTGAAAAGTAGAAAACATTTAGTCAATAAACTTATATAAAATATTTAAGGTGAGTTTTATATTACTGCTTTTTTTTTTTTTTCTTTGAGACAGAGTCTGGCTCTGTCGCCCAGGCTGGAGTGCAGTGGCACGATCTTGGCTCACTGCAGCTTCTGCCTCCTGGGTTCAAGTGATTCTTCTGCCTCAGCATTCTGAGTAGCTGGGATTACAGGCGTCTGGCTAATTTTTGTATTTTAGTAGACACAGGGTTTCACCATGTTGGCCAGGTGGGTCTCGAACTCTCGACCTCAGGCGATCCACCCACTTTGGCCTCTCAAAGTGCTGGGATTACAGACATGAGCCACTGCACCTGGTCTGTTATTGCCTTTTTATTCAAAGTAATACCTCAAAAGACTTAAGAAAGTTTTTAGTATCAAATCTTTGTGGTTTACACTGAAACGGTTTTATGTTGCTGCGGATTTCCTGGAGTTTTGATTTAAAGGCAGAGATGTAAGTTTTATTGCTAATCTGTCATGAGATGAGAGTTAAAAAAAATAAATGTCAGTTTTATTGAATAGTAAACTTACATTTTAGTTGTGATTTAATTACAAAATAAGCATTACTAATAGTACTTGAAGGAAGTTTAAACATTTCTGAAATATGGGAACACGAGTATCTTTCCATATTTTCCTCAGGAATGTAGTCTGAGATCCTGACAAGCACATCTCTCTGGCTAAATTGTCAAAGTACAATGTAGACTTGAATCTTCCTATAATTTACCTCATACTTATTACTCTTCTGTAATATTTGAGGGTGAACTAAAGCATAGGATGATTTTTTTACAGTAACTCTTATCAAATCTTGAAATAAACTAACTTGCAGAAATAGACTTGTTTCCATCTGGGATTCAGTTGTTATAAATCTTTAAAATGCTTTGAAAGTAAAAAGCATCTATACAAAAAGAAAAATCTCACATCTCTTGTTCAGTAAGTGATACTGAGAATAGACAGATTTGTGGCAAAATCTTATCAGTTAGAACTTGGGTTTTCTCTCATACTTCTCTTAAATCTAGAGGGCATAATAATTGTGTTTCTTTTCTATTATAATACATGAATGTTTCTCATGTTTTCAATTTTTACAACTTATGTAAATAGCTATTACCGTCTTCAAAAAGTAATTTACAGCTCTATTTTGAACAAAATTTAGGACTGTAAGTTTGGTACATTTATGCATATGATCTGGATATTAATTAGAACAGACAGCAAACTTTATTTCTTGAACATACCAAATTATACTTAATGCAGCTTTATATTTTAAAAGTAAAGTATCTCTTATCTCTAAATCTGTAAGGGACATTAAAATTTTAGTTTAGGTTTCAGTTCTTCATAGGTTTGTTTTTTCCATTCTATAGAAAAGTACCTTTCAGTCCTACTTCAGAATTTTTAATCTTTCATCCTTTGTCCCCTCCTAGAAGTACATGTGAAGAGTTGGTATGTGAAATAGGATTTTTGTGAAGTTCTTCAGTTTGATAACAGATTTGTGCAATTGTGTATTTGTTCCTAGAAATTAGCAAATTAACATTTTCTGCTGATTTTTTCTTTTTTCTTTTCCTTTTGCTTTTTATAGATTGTGTGACTTTGTGTGACTTTAAACAGGTTTTCCAGTACAGTTTGTTTTGGTGGATTATTTGGCGAAACTAGATTGATTTATGGATATAACTGCTGTGAAGGCTGGGCATGGTGGCTTATACCTGTCATCTCAGCACTTTGAGAGGCTGAGGCAGGAGGATCACTTGAGTCTAGGAGTTACAGACCAGCTGGGCAACAAAGTGAGACACCATCTCTACAAAAAACATTTTAAAAAAATTATCCAGGCAGCAAGGTGCGGTGAGTGGCTCACGCCTGTAATCCCAGCACTTTGGGAGGCTGAGGCAGGCGGATCACAAGGTCTGGGAGATAGAGACCATCCTGGCTAACATGGTGAAACCCCGTCTCTACTGAAAATACAAAAAATCAGCCAGGCATGGTGGCGGGCGCCTGTAGTTCCAGCTACTCGGGAGGCTGAGGCAGGAGAATGGTGTGAACCCGGGAGGTGGAGCTTGCAGTGAGCCGAGATTGTGCCACTGCACACCAGATAGAGCGAGACTCCGTCTCAAAAAAAAAAAAAAAAAAAAATTATCCAGGCATGGTGGCACACACCTGTGGTCCCAGCTACTCAAGAGGTAGGAGAATCACCTGAGCCTGGGAGGTTGAGGCTGCAGTGAGCCTTGATCATGCTGTTGGACTCCAGCTTGGGCGATATGTAGCCGGTCTCCAAAAAAAATACAAATAAATAAATCTACTTATTCTGTAGATTTCATGACCCCATTTCATTTAAGCATACTTTCAAAGTACTCCACTGGCCCACCTATACCCTTTGGAATATATAAATAGGAACCTAGGGGATTTAATAGCTTAAAATTAAAAAACATCAAAACAAAACCAAGCAACCATTTTAGTATAAATTATTCGTAAGTTTATATCTTGAAACAGTTTAATGTCTCATGAGAACAATTTTTTTTTTTTTTTTTTTGAGACAGAGTTACAACTCTTATCGCCTAGGCTGGAGTGCAGTGGCATAGTCTCGGCTCACTGCAGCCTCCGCCTCCCAAGTAACTGGGATTACAGCTGGGTTCAAGCGATTCTCCTGTCTCGGCCTCCCAAGTAGCTGGGATTACAGGCATGCACCACCATGCCCTGCTGATTTTTTTTTTTGGTAGAAATGGGGTTTCACCATGTTGGCCAGGCTAGTGTCGAACTCCTGACCTCAGGTGATCCACCCACCTCGGCCTCTCAAAGTCCTGGCATTACAAGCGTGAGCCATTGTGCCCGGCCCAATTTGTTAAACAAAGGTTTGAATAACTTTGAGCATGTTACCCTCTTCTATAAAGTGGAAATCATAGTAGCTTCTACCTCAGAAGATTATTATACAGATTAAATGAGGTCTTAAGGTTCTTAGAACAGTTTTTGAAAGTATCAGATATTAACTATTGTTGTTATTATTTATTCTTGAATTCTCTTTCATTTGCTTGGGCAAAATGCTAAAAAATTTTTAAATGACTTTTTTTTTTTTTTTTCCAGAGCAAGTGGAATTACCTGCTGTGGCATCAGTCAGTGCTTCAGTAATTAAATCTCCATCAGATCCCTCACATGTTTCTGTTCCACCACCTCCATTGTTACTTCCAGCTGCCACCACAAGGAGTAACAGTACATCTATGCATAGTAGCATTCCCAGTATAGAGAATAAACCTCCACAGGCTATTGTGAAACCACAGATCCTAACCCATGTTATTGAAGGCTTTGTGATTCAGGAAGGATTGGAGCCATTTCCTGTAAGTAGCAAGCATATTTTGTGTGTGTTTATAATTTATATAACATTATTTTAAAAATTATATATTACTATTCTCTAATAAAAAACTTGTAATTTTATTTCAAGAAAGTTGTCCATTTTAATCTAGCATTTATCTCTCTTTCTACTTCCTTTATTTCCAAATGTTTATGTAGAATTTTATGCCAGCTAAGTTTAGATGCATCAACTAAGGGAAAAAAATTTCAGGACACATTTTTATAATTTTTAGAGAAAGGTAGTTGGAAGTTTATCCAGTGAAATAAACTTTTCTATTTTTTCTTTTTTTTTTTTTTTTAGACGGGATCTTGCTCTGTTGCCTAGGCTAGAGTGCAGTGGTATGATAATGGCTCATTGTTACCTTGACCCCTGGGTCTCAATTGATTCTTCCACCTCAGCCAACTGAGTAGCTGAGACTGCAGGTGTGTTCCACCGTGCCCCACTAATTTTTGTATTTTTTTGTAGAGACAAGGACTTGCTATGTTGCCCAGGCTGGTTTTGAACTCCTGAGGTCCCAAAATGCTGAGATTACAGGTGTGAGCCATGGCGTGGCGCTCAGCCTATTTTTTCTTTTTAAGGAAACTGAAACGACAGCTGAAGTGTACTACTATTTTTATTTTTATTTATTTATTTATGTTTTTGAGACAGAGTCTCGCTCTGACACCCAGGCTGGAGTGCGGTGGCACTATCTCAGTTCACTGCAACCTTCGCCTCCTGGGATCAGGTGATTCTCATGCCTTAGCTACGTGAGTAGCTGGGACTACAGGCATGCACCACCATGCCTGGCCAGTTTTTGTATTTTTGGTACAGAAGAGGGGCTTTCACCGTGTTGACGAGGCTGGTCTCAAACTCCTGGCCTCAAGTGATCTACTGCCTCACCCTCCCAAAGTGCTGGGATTACAGGCGTGACCCACTGCACCTGGCCATAAAGTGTATTATTTTAAATCATCTGAAGTTACAGCTGAAGTTACCCAGTTGATGGTTTGTAATTAGCCAATATATTTTCTCGTTATTCCTAAATTTTAGCCTTCAATCATATTTTTCAAATGCTTTAAAATGTTCCACTCAGAATGAAGGTGCTCTATCACTACAGGTCTTACAACTTGAGGCTAAGCTGTGCATAAGTTGTATGCTAATATCTAGAGATAAACATTTTTCCTTGGAAAATATATCAAAGACAGGCAGATATAAAAAATATGAAAAATTTTTTGAAGGCATTTTGAGTCATCTGGATTTTCAGATTCATGGGTGACAGTCTTGCATTATGGTAGATAGCTACCCAGTCAGTTGTTTTTGTGTTCAGTTTCCTCTGTGTGTGTGTGTGTGTGTGTGTGTGTGTGTGTGTGTCAAACTTGGATTTCCTATAACAATTCTCATACAGTGGATGGAGGAACAGTCTTTTTTCCCGTCTGCTCCATACTGACCATGTAACTTGTTAAGTCATTCAAACTTTCTGATCTTTAGTTTGCTTATTCGTCAGACGGAGATGGTGCTTTGCTCTTATGGTTGTCGAGAGAACTAAATGTGCATAAATTATTCTCTATGGTACTTGGCACTTCATAGCCATAGCCATTATTATCTGTTACCAGTAGTGAGAGCCATAACTTTTGTTTTTCACATTACAAAACTAATACATGTTCTAAATGGAAAATTTGGGAAATGTACAGGGCAAATGATCCCCATTAATACCACAATATGTTTATGTGTATATATACCACAGTACACATTAATACCACAGTATGTATATGTACATATATACCACAATACCTATGTGGTATATATATACAATACATATGTGGTATATATACACATATACGTATTGTGGTATTAATGTATATGTGTTTGTATATATAATGTATAGATGTTATATATACATACAGTCAAGATGATTATTGTACGTACAGTTCTTTGAGGAAATTTGAGTATTTATTTTCTCATATTATTAATAGTATTGAAAACATTTTGAAAGGTTACATAAAATTTCACTTTATGAACATCCATGTAATCTTTCCATTATTGTTGGACATTAGGTTTCCATTTTTTCACTGTTCAAATAGTTCTGAAGGGAATATCTGTATATAAATCATACACATTTTAAATAAGTTTCTTAGTATGAATTTTTAGAAATAGAGTTATTACATAGATATTCATAAGACTTGATATGAATTGCTGAATTATTTTTTGGAAAAATGATTTAAATTTATTCATCTGTGAGAAGTGTATGCCCTTAGTAGCATTGAATATGAGTTTTTCTTTAAGCAGTAACTTTAATGAATTTTAATTTCACTTGAGGCATATTAAATATCTAACTGACATGAACAAAATTTTTAAAAAGTTTGTGAGTGATTATACTCTAAGGTTAAATGTAAAAATTTCTATCCAATAAGCTGTTGTTCCCCATATGTGGCAGATATTGGAGATCTAACCAGCATTCTTGAGGAATAAGATGTTCTAGTCATTCTGTTTTTTAAATTAGCTGAGGGCTCACCAGTGAATCAATGAATATATTTGGTCTGAGTTGTTTTTGTTGAAAATATTTCTAAAATAAGTAGTATTCCTGAGTTAACCAAGTATACTGAATATAAGTGAATATTTTGATGTTAATTTGTTAATATTTGAAGATTTTCCATTTCCTTTGTGATTATAGTGGATTAAGTTGCTAAACTAGGATTCAGAAGACTTGAAATCTAGTCCTCATTCTATTTTTGTAAACAAATCACCTAAACACTTTGAATTTTAGTTTTCTTAGAAGCTTTGTGCATGAAAAATCTTAATTAGTTGAGGATACTGGCAAATCAAAATTTACTGATGATCTTTTCTTTGTCTTGCATTCATATGGAAAACACTAAAATTGGCTGGGCACGGTGGCTCACGCCTGTAATCCCAGCACTTTGGGAGGCTGAGGCAGGCGGATCACCTGAGGTTGGGAGTTTGAGATCAGCCTGACCAACATGAAGAAACCCCGTCTCTACTAAAAATACAAAATAAGCCAGGGGTGGTGGCACATGCCTGTAAACCCAGCTGCTTTGGAGGCCGAGATAGGAGAATCGCTTGAACCCGGGAGGTGGAGGTTGTGGTGAGCCAAGATCGCACCATTGCAACAAGAGCAAAACTCCGTTTCCAAAAAATAGAAAGAAAGAAAAAGAAAACCTTAAATTTATGAAGAAAAAAATTAGTCTCCACAAAGAACTTGAGAGAGAATTGCTTGAGTAGACTTTTTAAAGTTTAAAAAAAAAAAACCCAACTGCTAAATATACTGACAATTACTGCCTTTGTTTTTCAGTGTTGGATTGAGCTACCAAAATATTCACAGTGCAGGATAACTGGATGATTAGTATTAATTCTGAAGATAAGGAATTGCTGATTTTGTTTTCCAAAAACTACTTGCCTAAACTCAGACAGCAGGTTCCATTTAACAGAGACTTTGAAGCAGCTGTACTGCTGGTGACCAGAAATAAACCATTCAGGTCCAGACTGCGTCACCTTTTCCCAAGGAATAAAGCACTTAATAAATGGATATGATGAGTTGAACTAGTAAATTATCACAAATAGGTTTCATTTCAAGAGTTTTTTAAACCAAGTTATTTCTGAATGTCTTTTTAGAGATTGTTTCATTTTTTTGTTTCTCCTTTTTTAAAGGTGAGTCGTTCATCTTTGCTAATAGAACAACCTGTGAAAAAACGGCCTCTTTTGGATAATCAGGCAATAAATTCAGTGTGTGTTCAGCCAGAGCTACAGAATAATACAAAACACGCAGATAATTCATCTGACACAGAGATGGAAGATATGATTGCTGAAGGTTTGTGGGTTTCACTTAAGACACCCTTTAATTTAACTTTGACTTTTACTGCTTAAAACAGGATGTAGATTTTTGTTCTGTACAGAATTTCACTGGAAGTATTCAACTTTTATTCTCATATAATGCACCATTTGACTAAAATAATGGGAAAGCTAATCAGACTCTCAATGGTCACATAGCCAAAATAGCAAGATTAGTGCTAATTTCTTCAATGTCAATTTGACTTTTGAAGGAGTGTAGGTGGGAAAAGTTCCATCATATGTGAGAGAAGGCAACTCAGAATTTTAGTATCAATGCAATCAATTTTCTTTCTTTTTTAAAGCAGACTTAAGTAACAAATGAGTATTTTACTGAGTTTGCTTAAAATTTTAGAGCCTCTGGGTTGTTTTGTTTCAGAGCATTCTGATGTTTGACATCAGGTGGATATTGTAATTATATTAAGTATATACTCTTCATTCAAGAGGCGATTACATTTGTTCAGTGAGGAAACTCCTTTTTTATTTAGACTTTATTCTAATAAAGAATGAAATAAGGCCAGGGACGGTGGCTCATGCCTGTAATCCCAACACTTCGGGAGACTGAGGCAGGCAGATTACTTGAGGTTAGGAGTTTGAGACCAGCCTGACCAACATGGTGAAATGCTGTCTCTACTAAAAATACAAAAATTAGCTGGGTGTAGTGGCATGCACCTGTAATACCAGCTACTTGGAAGGCTGAGGCAGGAGGATTGCTTGAATCCCGGCGGCAGAGGTTGCAGTGAGCTGAGATTGCGCTGCTGCACTCCAGTCTGGGTGACAGAGCAAGACTCCATCTCAAAAAA